TCAGAAAACCCCAAATGCACCAAAAAGCACACATGGGAAACAGAAGAAAATATTATATTTGATATTTTTTATGTAATAATCATCAACAAATGCAATTTTCTTCCGTTTGCCATGTGTGCTTTTTGGTGCATTTGGGGTTTTCTGATGCACAAGATGTATAATATCACCAATCTAAGGAGTTTGTAGAAAAACACTTTAGTTTGGTGAAGTTTGAGCACCATTTCTGAAGCAAATGTTTGCATAAATGTTTAAGACACAATGTAAGAAGTTGTACATAAGTTACAAAAGTCAGATAGCCTCATACACTACTTGAGTCCTTTGATAATTCAAAGAACCAAAAATTACTGGTCAAATTCTTGCCATTGCTGCACTTTTAAAGGAAACATGACAAGACTATATGCCTGGTGCTGACAGTCAGCCATCTGGGACACGTGTTGTGGGATGTGTATTGCAAAGGATGATGGGATAGTATCATTTCCCCCCCTGGTGTCTGACGTAGTGTTATAAAGAACTACTGGCTAGAAAACATTTTAACCCTACACGTACGTTCTGTGCAGTGAGCAGTTGTACCTATACAAAACATGTTATAATGACTACTAAACAGAGTGTCGGCTACATTACTTGCCAGGAATGTTACAATTCTACATACAAATTCTACGATACGCTACACTATATACATGTAGTTGATAAAGTATCCAATGATTCTTCTTATACAGCTATCCTCAAAAAGCAGATAAACTGCAAAGCTGAAATTCAAACCTCCGTGAAAAACTTAAACTCAAACCGAGTCCTACATTATGTCGTGCTCTCTCCGCTATAAAGCAGGTAAAGTTAAAAATGTCCTTAGACTAACTTTGTTCTGTAATCCGAATCCATCCTCCCAAGGCAGGGTCGGCAGCGCGGTATTCTATATACCTTACAACCGACCCTGTCATTTTACGTCCAGTTTTCTACTCCAGGTAACGTAGCCTACAAGTAGCTGTCAGCCAATCAGAGACATAGCTTTCAGCTGGGCAAAGCTATCCGAGAGCCAATCATGTAACGTCTTACATCGCCTCTTTGGGTTTCATGTAAAATGGCGGTTGGTCATTATGTTGTCTCAGTCGTGCAAGACTTTTTTGGCGTCGTGAAGAGCTCGTGAACACCAGAAAATCACGCTACAGGGACTACTTAATGGCCGAAACGTGTTCCTTAGGACCGGCAGACGGAAAAGCCTGTGTTACATGAGCTTTCAAGCCGCAGCCAGATCGAGCGGGCAGCGACGGAGCTACGGTCTACTCAACTCAAGAGCGAGCATCCAGCGAGCGAGCATCCAGCATCCGTGGCCTTTTGGAGATGACCTCATTATATTGTAGTGAGTCCACTGAATGCGATAATGAAAGTTGAATGTGACAAGATGAGCTTGCTGGGCCTGAAGGCGACGTGTTTAGGTATGTACGCAGCCAAGCCGAGACAGTGGTGACAGTGTCTACGTCCGCCATCTTGAATTTATGTGATCCTGGCGCTGATTGGCTTGTGCCAAATAAGGCAAGCTCATTAATATGTAGAGAACACGTTACCTGGAGTAGAAAACTGGACGTAAAATGGCAGGATCGGTTGTCAGGTATATAGAATACTGCGCCGCCGACCCTGCCTTGGGAGGATGTCCGAATCATGTTCCATCATGTTCGATCTGATGAAATTCGAACAAAACGTGTTACCTATGACGTCATTTGCGGCCATATCGGTCGACGCTGATTGGTTCCGGTGTTTAAGGTATTTTAATGACCTCTGGTTGACTTATGGTGTCATAACCAATAGCAAATGGGGACCTCTGATTGGTCAACGCTACATGGCTATATGATAATACTCGTTATATATTTAAATCTCAAGAATTAGTGTAAAGCTGTCGTGTTTCTTAGTGTTGTGTGCATTATTTGGTTACTAATGGATAAACTGGATTCCTAAATCACGGCAAACAGAATATTTTGTATCTGAACATTTTAAGCTCCTCTCTAGTATTCCTATGGGTTCGTATTGAAAGCAAGTTCAACTACAGCAACCTTGAAAGCACTATGTTATTCAAAAGCTGCCGTGGACCGAAGGTAGGTAGGGCGGAAAGAATCTAAAGCGCCATAATACCTTCTGATTCACTGCTGGGCATGCTGAGTATCTTTATCTTATTTATACGACACGATGTAGATTAAAACTCGCCGGTGTGGGGTTTTCTCCCAAAAACACGGTCAAATAAGCTGGAAAGTTTTTTTTTTTAACTCAGCAAAATCATCGGCATTAAACATTAGCAGTTTCCAACGCTACAATCCAGGCAACAAAAAACCTCTTTACGCGAGATTTAGTGAATCCTGAAGGAAACCACGCACCCGTGCAGACTATCCCCGCCTCAGGTAGTTTTAACTACCTTAAAAGACAACCTGCAACATCCGTTCTTTTTTACCCTAAAACCAACAATTCTAAATACAGACACAAATACCCCTTTGTCCCGAAAACATTCCAATTAGTGTGATGCCCACAAAACAAACATATTGTTACTTTAGACATATTTTTATCTTAAATAATAGTAATTAGATGTCGTCTTGATACTGCTGTAATGCTGTAGATTTAATAAGATTTACTCATAAAGTACTGTAAGGTTGATTGTGAAATAAAGTCTGAATTTTAAAAAAATATTAATCCAAAATAGGAAAGTATTACTTGCATATAGAAGTATTTTACATTATCAAATCCAAACGATGCTAACATTTATATGATAATAATATTTTGTAGATACCCGAAAGTTTTGTCGGCTCTTCAGGCACGGTCTACTCTGGCTGCCATGCTGAAATCTCCAGCAGCAAACCCCGCCTAACACTAGCTGTTCTTGTCGGCATGAACGCCAAGGCGGCACACAAGTTGGTAGCGACAATAGCGGCTCACTCCAGCAGGATGCCGGTTACGCTCTTTCTGTATGGAGACTTCGTGGAAGCGTTTCCTCAACTGGTGAAAGAATGGTCTGAAACATTTACAATAGGCATGCGCGAGGTGAGGCTTGGTTTTTATCGTAAAAGTGCATTAAATGAATTACATGCCAAAGGATTACATTGTATTGTTTTATTTCATTATAAGTCAATAAACAGTTTCTTCCTCTTAAGGGCCCTGTCACACTTCTGCGAATCGGCTTGCGTATGAGTTGCGTACGAACAATTTTTTTCATACGCAGCCGTACGCAAAATGCGCATTTCATATGTATCTCAGTCGTTTTGTGTAAGTTTTGTGAACGCCGGCATACGCACAGCACACGCACCGCCCGGCTCAGTACGCAGCGTAGCTTTGAGCATACCCAAAACTACGCTGCGTACGCTGTTACGCAGGTCATGCGTTTTTAATACGCAATGCATAGGTCAAGCACGGTATGAGTACTCTATGTGTTCGTGGGGGACACGCGGCTCATACGCTGATCTGCACCTGGAACTGCACCTGTGCATAAGCTGCGTACAATGGACGAATGTACTGCGTGCTTATAGCGCTTTAGTACCGTTCGCATTGCAACATGACAGCGCATTGTACGTATTTGTAACTAATGAGAAGCGCAAAGGTTGCGTCCAGATCTAGATAGCAAACTTGCCGAACACCTGGGCTACACCCGGGGTATCCATGGTTAACATACTTCCAGGAGCATTTTAAGTACGGGCCCTGTCACACTTTTGCGAATAGCCATTGCGTTTGAATTGCGTACAGGCATTTCTTCCGTAGGCACAATACGTAACGTTACTGTAACGCACTTGTAGCGTATAAATAACGAATTCAGCGAATAGATTGCATTTGACATCCGTATGGCGTTCACATGCATTGCGAAGACCAAACGTATTCCGGACGCACTCAACGTATTCCCACCGGATGCCTAACGCACTTCCGACGAATGCCAAGCGTCTTGTGTGCGTATTCCCTGATGCTTCCTGCTGTTTAATTTGCAGCGAGTCATTCATGGGTCGCCCTCAACTCAGTTAAAATGTGTTTGTTTCTATTTCGCCCTAGCCCTGGTCAATTTCCTGTAATATATTGTCAGGTAAATTAAATTCCCGTACCCGGACTTTATACAAACATAACAGTTAGACTGTTAATAGCCTTGATGAATTGGAGATGTCAAGAAATGCCCTCTCTTAATAATTTGAAAACAATGAAAACACCCATACTTGCAATACATACAATTTACAATTTCGCTTACACACAGATAGCATGGACACTACACATCTCTGCAAACAATACAATTTACCGACACAAAAACAGGCAACTGGCGCATTATTCCAAAGTACAGGCAACAAAAAGCAAATATTTATGTTAAATTTACATATATTGATGCAGTATGGATATGGAGGCGGTACAAGGGTGTTCTTTTGTGTTAAAAAGTGTCAAAATGCATTTTTGTAAAACATATTGCACCCTAGGAAAGACGTTTTCCCAATAATCATCTACTTTTCAGCAAAACATATTAGAAAGAGCCAATCTTAACATAGTAATCAACTCATTTGATTTGTCACATCTTGCGTAAAATGCTCCAGGAGGTCTGTTAACCATGGGTTCTAGAGGAGCCGGTACCCCGGGTGTAGCCCAGGTGTTCGGCAAGTTTGCTATCTAGATCGGTACGCAACTTTTGCGCTTCTAATTAGTTATAAATACATACAATGCGCTGTCCTGTTGCAATACGAACGGTACTAAAGCGCTGTAAGTACGCAATGCATTCGTCCATTGTACGCAGCTTATGCACAGGTGCAGTTCCAGGTGCAGACCAGCGTATGGGCCGCGTGTCCCCCACGAACACATAGCGTACTCATACCGTGTTTGACCGATGCATTACATATTAAAAACGCATGAACTGCGTAACAGCGTACGCAGCGTAGTTTTGGGCATGCTCAAAACTACGCTGCGTACTGAGCCGGGCGGTGCGTGCGCATGCCGGCGTTAACAAAACTTACACAAAACGACTGAGATGCATATGAAGTGCGCAGTTTGCGTACAGCTGCGTATGAAAAAATTGCCCGTACGCAACCCATACGCAAGTCTATTCGCAGAAGTGTGACAGGGCCCTAAGATGTGACCAAAAAAAAATGAATGAGTTGATAAATATGTTAGGATCGACTCTTTCTAATATGTTTTGTTGAAAGGTAGATGATCCTTGGGAAAACGTATTTTCTACAGTGCAATATGTTTACAAAAATGCATTTTGACACTTGTTAACACAAAAGAACACCCTTGTACCGCCTCTCCCCAAAATTATAATAGACTGGCCATTTTGCGTATTATCAATATATCCATATTTAACATGAAATATTTGTTTTTTCTTGCCTGTACTTTGGGTTACTACGCCAGTTGTTGTAAATTGTATTGCAAGTATGGGTGTTTTCATCGTTTTCAAATTATTAAGGGAGGGTATTACTTGACATCTCCAATTCATCAAGGCTATCAACAGTCTAACTGTTATGTTTGTATCAAGTCCGGGTACGTGTATTTAACTTACTTAACAAGATATGGGCGAAATGGAAACAAACACACTTTATCTGAGTTGAGGGCGGCCCATGATGAGAAGGACCCATTGCGAATAAAACATCAGGAAGCAACCAAGAATACGCACACAAGACGCTTGGCATTCGTTTGAAGTGCGTTAGGCACCCGGTGGGCATACGTTGAGTGCGTCTGGAATACGCTTGGCCTTCGAAATGCATACAAACGCCATACGGATGTCATATGCAATCTATGCGCTTAATTCGTTATTTATACGCTACATGTGCGTCACAGTATCCGCGAAATTGTGCGTACGGCAGAAATGTCTGTACGCAACTCATGCGCAATGGCTATTCGCAGAAGTGTGACAGGGCCCTAACACACATGCTCACCTACACACACACACACACACACACACACACACACACACACACACACACACACACACACACATGTAATAATTGCACATTTCACAAACTTTTGTTTTAGAGCCAACCATTTCCGCTGGGAGACTTCACGCAACAGGCATTAAGCTGGATCCGGGTTGGTCTGGTCAGTGCAATACAGCGACTGAGTGAAGTGGGCCTACAACCGGCCTATTACTGTCCCGAAAACATAACAGAAACGTTGATAAAAGTAGCCAAGTCTCAGAGCCTGAGGATCATCCAACCGACAGCTCGCTTCCCCCCAACCGATGGTACTGTTAAAATTTGTTTTACATTTGCAAAGGTTATGTTTTTGACAACGTTATGATGTGTTTGTTTCTTTGTGTGTGTCTGTGTGCCTGTCTTCATGCCCGTTAACACGATAACTGATATTTTGTATTTTGGTGGGTCTTGATTACACTTGTAATTAAATGATTGCCCCTTGTGTCTGGTTCTGGTACGGCAGCGAAACGTTTGGTTTTGACATTAACATCATTGCCAAGGTGACGACTGAATAATCACCATATGGTTGATCCAGCAATGTCCTTTACAATGCTTTGAAGACAAACAGATGTTCCGTACACGTGCATGTAGCGAAATGTACAGGATGGGAGCTCTTGCTCGAACCAAACTTAAAAGCATCCTTAACTTTACAATCCTCCTTTACAGACTGGATTTTTCATCTGATCTTAGGTTGTCAGCTAAAGCAGTGGATACGTCGATAAAGGTTATACATCCAGGTGGTAAGATACGCCAAAAAGCAGTTACTCAAGCAACTGGATATGATTTTGGAATCGGTCAGAAGTTGCAGCTATATACACTAGCTTTCGTCGGTGACTGAGAGACCAGATGAGAAATGCTGGTTTATAGGCACAAACTATTGATTAATATAAAAATAAGTGAAAATGTTTTTTTTTTGGAATTCCAAAAAGCAACAAAAGTTGGACAGGTCAAGGCAAGATGATGCAAATTAGTCACAAAGCTCCTATTTTGCAGAACAGGAGCTTAAGTATTGTCTGTCCTTGCGGGCGCGCCAAATCCCAAGTGCCGGAGAGATATACACGTAGTCCTCCTTCCCTGTTGAGGGTATCAATCAATCAGGGTAGGGTTGTACATTTTTGCCTCCGGGGGAGGAAATATCCTTCCGCGGAAGGGTTTTGGAAGGGTTCGCAGCTGTTTCTCGCGTTTGGTTGGACGGATTCTTTTGGGACTCGGTATATGTTTTGCTATTGGGCTGTAGATGATGCACGTTATTTTGTTTTCGGGTGGGAAAATGGTGCCTTTTGGTGGCCCCAGAACACTCCTTTGAGCGTGAAAGCTGTTTCAACATTTGACCTTTGGTGTATTTAAAGTATTTCAAGTCTCGTCCACTTGCATGACCTTTCGCACAGAGGGTTGTCCGGTATCGATACATTCTTTGTTTAAAAATATGCACCAAAACGCTTTCCAGGTCTGCGTAGCCAGATTCAGTAAACATATGCACAATTCAAAGATCCTTTGGTGAAAATATATATTTCTTTGCGGATTTATGGTGTGTTTTTTTTTAATTCGATCGAACCCGGAAGTGTCAACGCGGGGCACGGTACCGGTGTCTGGTAAAGGTAGCGAGTCACAAGTATGCAAATGAGTATTATGCAAACGTTTGCATACGTGCCTATATTACTACAACTTCTTGTAAACCCTTGTATATTTGACTTACTATAAGCAGCAAGCTTCTGTATGTGACATTTCGGAACCCAGTCACTATGTTTTTGATCAAAATATTTGTGGTTTTAACGTCTGATTTAACGGTTCCGGTTGTCATTCTGAGTTTCATTACGAGTTCCTTGCGGCAGATTAAATAGAATTTCATAAGTTCATGGGTACATGTTATAAGCTGCAGATGAAAATGTTGACCTGTGTTATCTCAACATGGAACGCTAAATCTAACACATACAATTTAACACCATCAACTGTTCATAACAAACAACATATAAGAATATACAATAAAAAGCCCGGAGGTATAAAATCTCAGATTTTACTTGTTTCATATATTGCCTCTTTAACACACTGTTCCCACCGGCGTGTTTCGCGGTCTAAGATATCCGTGGACTCGAGTTTGAAAGAGTGACCCTGGTTGTGTTGTAGGTGGTAGAAAATGGCTGAGGAGTAGCTGTTAGCACTAGGTCTGCAATGTTCCTTGTACCTTACGAGTGTTATTTACAGACTCTTTAATTCATTATATACATAAATGACCTCCCAAGAACTCAATCCAGTTCTGCAAAATAGCCATGTGTGTCGACGATACGATTATATACTTCGCGGCACGTACAGTAGCACCCACACAGTCCAGCAGACACTACAGGACGACTCTACCAGGCTCGCTCAATAGTTTTCTGCAAATAAGCTGTCGCTAAATCCAACCAAATGCAAAACAATGTTAGTAAGATCGCCAAGTGCAAACTGCAATAACACTAATTTACAACTTAACCTTAGCAGGCACTGCACTTGAGCAAGTTCACAAATTCAAGTACCTCGGGGTCGTTATTGACAGCATGTTAAACATAATCACTGTGAGCATATACGAGCATATACAAGAAGTTAGCGCAAATGATTGGTATCATCAAGTGTCTCAAACCATATTTGAATACACAGGCGCTTCTCACACTCTACACGACACTCTTCCTGCCACATGTACAATATTGCAGCACGGTTTGGGACCAGGGGGGTAAAAGTGACTTGGAAAAAATTCAGAAACTACAAACTAGAGCTGGTCGTGCGATCATGGGATGTGATCGCTATACACTTACCTCAGATGTCTCACGCACTCTAGGATTGGTTCCAATAGCTGACATGCACAGGATAAGCAAAGCTACACTTGTCTTTAAGGCACTTAACGGCATGCCCCCTCCACACCTTACTGCTTTATTTACACAGCTTTATGAAATTCATGCACACAATACTCGACTCAGGTCACAAGGTGGCCTTCAGCTACCAAAAGCCAAATCTGAGCACAGAAAGAAAGCATTGTCGTGCCCGTCTCGACTAAAATCGTCAGGGACACTTACACTGTTCAAAAAGATCTACAATCAAGAATATATAACTACTGGACACTGATATACAAAGGTCAACTTGTTCCGTATTATTTGACTTTTAATGTCTCTTTGATTTGATTATTTATATTTCTTTCCACCGATATGCAAACTCCACTTTTAGTTATATACTTTTAAGTTGACATACCTTTTGACTATCTACCATTAGGATTTGATATCTGAACGATTATAATTACTTCTATGTTACCTTATTTTATTTGATTGTTGATGAGTTAGTTACGATTTCGTCGTGTTCACGATAAGTTTATCTATTTTTAGTTGACCTTTGTTAGTTTATCTTTAATCTTTTGTTATAATTATAATGTCATGTAGTTATGTTGGGGTCATCCCTCCAGGAATTTTTGAAAACCGCCAATTGGCGATATGTATTTCCTGGTTAAATAAATGAACAAGCAAACAAACGAACTCAAATGTGAGGAGCCCAATTGTAACAACACCTACATCGGAGAGACAAGTCAGTCAACGGCTATTCCTCTAATGTTCCATGTACCAAGTTCATACTATGGGTGACACAGCAGACACCATCGCTGCCCCGTGTATCTGTTGGTACAAGATCCCGTCATACAGAAAGTAGTTGCAGTGTAAACAGACCAGTAGTTTGACGATTTTGTCTCCGTAGAATGATGCCAAGTGCTTTGTTGACAGGAACATTAAAAGAGCAGAGCTCATCGTGGTCTTTAACTGTAAGGTCTCGGATGAGTGCGCTTTAAAAGGTGTCGACAGAAACGTGTCTGTAGTTCCAGAACAAGCTGCTAGGGGGAAAACTTACAACGTTTATTCCTGATTGGAAGAGCTATCTGTCACTAAAAACCCAAGACCATAGTGTGTTCAGGACAAAAGATACAAAAACCTGACGTTCTACTGCAATACCAAGGTCAGCCACTAGCAGACCTATACATGTAACCTTGACATTTGCCTTCCTAAGACCTACCAACATACCAAATATCATCACAATCAATAAGGCGTTCTGAAGTTATGCTGACTACAAATGTGCGGAAACACACACACACACACAGTTACACAGACACACAGGCAGGCAGACACACCAAAATCAATACATCCTTTTTCATTAAGATAATAATCTCTTATCATCTCGCCTATCCTTGTTAGATTTTTTGACGGCGTTGGAGTTTTCTGCACCCTTCATAATTTTTGTTCTTGGCGTTTCACTTAGTGACTTGATACTCTATTCAACAACAAAATTACATCACAAAACACCATCTTTAATGCAACAGGCTATCCGCTATCCTGTGGATCTTGTTTGCCTTTCCTGCTTTGCACAAACTACTTGTTTGATTAGCAGGTAAATCTTTTGCATCTGAGATTTGTCTGTCAACATGTCTTGATATATGATCTTGTAATTAAAAATGTACAGTAATTGTGTTCACAGACGATCACATCAAATTAAATAAAAAACACGAAGCCATAGGTGACAATCCTCCGTGAAGTTTTATATATTTCAACAAAACAATCCCAGGCGTCAACGCCAGACCTTCTGTGCAGACATTATAATTAGGCAACTGTTAATACAATGAGGGCGCGTCACAAGCATAAAACATAAAAAGACCTAAATCCATTACTGCTCTCAAGGCGGGTAAAGATACTGTGCTTCAAGTTCGAAGTTCATTTTAATTACACACACACAATCATTGCATTCACATAAAGATCGGACTATCATGGTCGTGTCACTATTAAGAGGGTCTGCATGGGGGGGGGTCCTGTCAATGGTTAACGGTAAATTGACAGCCTTTTTTTTCGAGCTGCACTGGATTTGTTATCTCGCTTTGTGAGAAAAGGTGATCACTGACAAAATTACGTATACCTTACATGTAATGAAGCATGTATTAAAGGTATGTGTTCCCTGTGTTTCCCACCTGCCCTGGTCCCCGAGTGCGTCCACAAATACCGGGGTGTCCGAGTCGACTTCGGCCAGCTTGCATTTTTTCAGTCTGCCCAGTTTTACCGATGGATTTTGAGAATGCTCCCCGGGAAATTTAGGATTTTTAAGCCTTCAAAAACGCAATTTCCCGCATATTTTGATAGGCAAATCATGGTGTTGAGAGTGTTTGTCGGTCCTTCTGATGTTTTCATATTTTACTCGAGATTTTTGTTAATTTGCCTGTCAAGGTTGACGGATTCGTTAAAAAAATTCTGTAACTCTCCGCAAACTTCCGGAAATTGAAGGGAAAACTGGCTAGAGCCGAAGGGACCGAGCGCGAGTCGAGCGCCAAAGGCGCGAGCAATGTAGGGGGTCCGGGGGCATTCTCCCCCGGGAAATTTTGTATTTTCTAAACCTTCAATGACGCATTTTCCTGCACTTTGATAGGCAAAATTAGGCGTAACGAAGAGTTATTCATTAACGCTTAACGCTGAATTCAGGATGACAAATAACGTTTTACGTTGAATTAAAACGACCCATAACGCTTCACGAGGAATATACTGATAACGCTTATCGTTGAATTAGAGCGGGCCGGCGAAGACAGCCCCACCGTCTTACCGTGCCTGTTACTTATTAAGCGCGACTGGAACAGGCCAGTCGCGGCCAGCACCGCGAGTGTTACTGCCGCCGGTCAGATACCCGGGATATCTGCTTAGAGAACCTCTGCTACCAGACAACTGCCTAAACCTACGGCCTATTCCACAGGATTGTAAAAGTAGGGATGTTTCTAAAATATGGATTAACTTCAATATCAAAACTGCTACATTGAAAATAAAAAAGACGTGCATCATCACGGACATAATGGTACACCACATGCGAAATTACACAGAAATGCGACGTACGGAAGAATGCGTTTTGGCTGCGAACATCTTCCAAAAAACTTGGCATCTCTTAAGCATGGGCAAAAACATCTGGAACCACTTATCAAAACCACCACGTATCTGCATGAAGTTCCACCCTTCACTGCTATTCCAAACAACGCGTTTTTCTGGAACATTCCAATTCGCCTCGTAATTGTAGGGGTGCGTCTGCAATATTACATTGACCGCGAAAGCAGCAACGGCAAAAATACACATTCGTGCATCAACACGGGTATGCCCGTAGACGGCGTATAAAATTGCGTGCCGATTACACAAAGAGAACCCAGTGTTTTGACTGCGAACATAAAAAATCAGCCGTTCACAACACTCCGTCCGGTGGTCCTGACCTCCTTCACGGAGTAATAAAATCAAAGAGACACCGAGATTGAATTTATTCTTCCTGGTTCTTTCTTCATATAAGCGACAAAAAAGTGTATATTGTGTGTTGTCCTCATAGAAAAAAACATATTTAAAACATAATTACGTCATCAAGATTCTGTGTGCAAAAAAATTCCAAAATGTTGCCACATGCAAAGCAACAAAGCCCTTTCCTGCTTGGCCCAAAAACCAAATGGCCTTAGGTTACCTTAAACCAGAATATTTCCGTAGGGAATGCATTCGTGCAATTTTTTTTTAATTGTTTCAAAGCGATCTTAGTACTAACAGAAATGCCTCCGCCCATAAGGCGCCGCCAAAAAGTCATAAGGGGAGAGACCCGTTAAAATTATATTTTAACGAATTTTAGCTATAGCGCGTTCAAACGCCGGAGTAGATCATTCATTATTTATTTAGTGGTCCCTCTACATTAAAATTCCGACGAGAGCATCATTGAGATTATACGAAATCATCTAAATACTTAACGACACAATTCATGTCTTTATATAATGTTTTACAATGTATTTTTTGACAGAGCCATGGCGTCTATCTTTTGAAAACTACTACAAAAACAAAGATGTAGATAGGATTCCCAAAGCCCTTCGCGTCATCGCCCAACAACTGGACAACAAGGGAGGCATCGTTACTCTGGACTCGGACCACCCAGACAGTTACATGATCTCCGTCTTCCTCATGGACTATCTGGTTCAGACATCTGGTTACAATCTAGTTAGTATTGCCGAGTGTCTAAAGTTGCCTTATTCACCGTAGCTGCTAAATCTAGAAAAGAAAATGAATTTCTTGGCATCTTTCATTAATACTTGTCAATCATAGCGGTTACACTGGAATCACTTTATTTCATAACCCCATTTATTATCAGAAGCTGAAACCATATTGTGCTTGTATAAGTGATTTGCTTTTTATATTAACCCCCAAACACCCGAACTTTTATGCGACTAAAATGAGCGAACGGGGTCAACATTGAACCCATTATGTCTCTTTCAAAACAATGGACAATTGACAATTGTTGAAAAATGCTCAAAATAATACTAAATGTTCGTTGGGGGATGAGGGATATAAGGGGTTCTACATGGGGGATATAAGGAAACTTTAAAAGCAAATTTTAAGCAATTTATCACATTTTATTTCAAAAGTTCATTAGTAAGTACCTTTCAAAATCAATTGTGTACATTCACTTTGTGCTTAATGGTATAAATGCTATGTCAGGGCATACCAACCTTCGCTCAACCGTGACGGTGGGTGGTACCGACTTCCGACGAACATGATGAACACGAGATGATTACTAAAATAAAATCAAACAAACTTTTGTACCAGGTACAATGTATTGCAAATTCTTCAGATGTAGAACATATCAGGGTAATATCTACGCTATAGACGGTCTAAGTTTTAACGCAAAAAACGCCCCTGAGACGTAAATCATAACCTCTGAGACACACTAACTCACAAGAAGGTTTAAATGTTTTTTTTCGTCATCATATAAGACAAATGATGTAATAGACGTATTTTTTAAGCTTCCTAACTTTTAGGAGATTTGGTATTTCTTCAATAATAATACCACCTTAAAAAATATAGACATTTACCATTTTGATCCATAGCTAAATGTATAAGTACAATTATATGCAATTTCTCTCGGTTATTACATCGTCGATTTTGTGTTTATCATTTTGCTTATTATTGACGCATAAACCTTATGTTTTAATTAAAATAATAATAATTCTACTTACAACAAATAGCATGATATTACAATCATCTACTATGATATTACAATATCTTTAACTAATTCTTAAACTAATGTATTATAATCTATTATTAATATCACAATATCTTTAACTAATTCTTAAACCAATGTACAATAATCATCATTAAGATCAATCAGTAGTTTATCTGGTGTACCTTTACATATGACTATTGAATGTAAAAATAGATGATTTAATGCCGTTTTTATAGTAAGACAACCTTGTCTTGTACGGCTGTACCAGTATATTACATATTAACATGCAGTACGCTCGACATCATTGGTTCTGTAAAGTCCCAAGTTTAACGTTAAAAATATTTCGGAATATATAATTTGCCTATTGACGTATTTACTGCAATAACTGAAGTGACGTATCCATAAAACACAAGCAAGATAAACAGAAAGCTGTCTTAACAATAGTTACATTAATGAAAGTTAGGGGTGACACTAATGCAATATACTAAATCTAATAAAGAATTACAGTTTGCAGTATATAAACTTTAGCATAAAAGCAGTACGTTTCTAAATTTTAGCTTTCTTAATATTAAGATGATATGAAATGGTATTTTGCAGGTATTACAAGTAGTGGTGAACATGTATTCAATGAATTGGTAAAGATTACCAAAGTAAAGTCAAACTTTATTGCACAACAATCTTAGGCAAATGGAAATTTTTCAGAAGTAGTGCATATCAGGGTAATATCAATGCTAACGTCTACAGTACTGCTGATGTGTTCGATATAATTATCATATCAAGACTAACACTACACTAGAGCATAGGTAATACAATATGAATAGAAACCATAATTCACATGAGTTCTATGTAACTTAAGACTAGATACTACGCTATTTTGTATAGGATACAGTATGAATGATTTAGGAAATTGGCTATAGGATTTAATGCATCATTTCATTGTGTTAAATTTAATGTTTCTTTTGAGTAAAGCTTGATAAAATATTGACTTACATTGCCAGCAAAATTTTGTCAGGGCATTACATAAATAACTGAAATTTTTGTGAGATTGTCTTAGGTAAGCTTAATAAATACTTGCTTTGCTGTTGATCGAAAGTTTTTTTTAGTATTTATATTTCAGTCCATACCATGGTATGGATGAAATATATTGTGTTCTCTGATGTTTCTTCTTCCTCTTCTTCTCCTCCTCCTGCCACACAGTCAAAGGGATTCAACTCCGCCATCATTCCGCCAAATGACTTGAAATTTGGCATGGAGGTAGAGTGGGCCAATACCTCCAGGCGTTTTTTTCATTTGTTTGATACATGCCTTTGAAAAATTTTTATGAAGGTTTTTTGAGGCATTTTTCGCCAAAAAATGGATTTTTGGATCCTGAGCCCTGGTTTTACAACCAAATGATCTGAAATTCGGTATAAGGGTACCTTGGACATGTGTCTACAGAATAGCAGTCACATATTTGGCATACACCACTTCCAAATGACTCATTTAGGGGACTTTAATGGCTATTTTCAGCAAAAAAAATGGCCAAAAGTGCTATACCCGTTCCATGTTCTATCTAAAGAATGACCTGTTCCATCTGCCGTTGGCCATGGAACACGTGTTCCATTGCGGGTTACCTGGGGTCACATTGCACGTAAGTTGTGCTTAATGACCCACACTTTCAATTTTATGTGCCTAAGACCTTCAAAATGTATCAAATCTCATCATTGTTGGTATTTGCATACCTGTAATAAGATTAGTATAGCTTTCGAGATTCAATGTGCTTGTTCT